TCTTTCTCTTGCAGTTTTTTAAGAACAGAAATGCATGGTCACATTGTTATACTAGATTGTGGTAAATATTAAATGTTTGATCTTTGTCCCCAGTTCCTAGCACAGAACTCCTAAGATCCTTGGAGTTTCTGGAGTGACAGGAGTGGATTTTGTAGCTAACGAAATGACTGGTGGGTGGTGACCTCGAGATAGCTCCAGGATGGGAGCAGGTGGCCAGGGAGAACAAGCCATGATCAGAGCTGGAACTTTGAGCCCTGCTCCCTGACCTCCAGGTTGGAAGAGGGGCTGGAGATAAGAGTTCAATCACCATTTAATCAATTATGAGGCCTTCATAGAAACTCCAAAGCATGGGTTGGGAGACAGTGCTGTCAGACGAGGCATGGAAGATGTGTGCCATGATCCCACCATAGATTGTCCTATGCATCTCATCCATTTGGCAGCTCCTGAGTGGTACTCTAGGTAATAAACTAGTAAATGTGGGCAAAACAATTTCCTGAGTTCTATGAGTCCTTCTTGTGAATGATATAACCTGGGCAAGGAGACTCTTGGAAACCCCTGCATTTCTAGGCAGATCTGCACGAAGTGCAGGTAGTCTGGGTACCCCACTTACAACTGGTGTCTGCAGCAGGAACAGTCTTGTGAACCTGAGCCTGGGGGTCTGTGCTAATCCCATACAGCATCAGAATTGGGCGGAACTGTTGAGCTCCCAGTTGGTGTTGGAGAATTAGAGAAGATCAGCAATGAGTAAAGGAAGAGCATGGATCTGAGGGGCAAAGCCTAGAAACAGAGTGGCTTCTGCAAGCGGCCAGGAGACCACAGATGCAGACGAGGGGGAACCACCTTAGAAATATTCAGGGGGCAAACCTGGTAGAATCTGGAACTACACAGGATATGCAGGATGGAAGAGAGGCAACACAAATTTCTTGGTTGTGAGCCTAGGTAGGCGGTAGTATCATGGAATGAGACAATATAAATAAAAGTTGTTTCAGACGTGCTGATTTTACAGCTTCGGGGGACTGGCTAGCAGGTTCCTAGATACACAGAACAGGAACTCAGGCAGAGATGCACAGAGGAAGAGCTGTAGATGAGTTTACCTGGAGTGATTCTGAGACTCCAGAGAAATGGGCTGGGGCAGAACACAGGGGACCACAGGTGCTGGCCTGGCTGGTGAGGACCTAGTGATGAGCTGGGGAAGAGTGGCCAGACACGGGAGGAGAGAGTAGGTCCGCATCTCTCATTCTGTACTAAAACCAAATTGAAATGAACCAAGGACCCAAATATAAAACCAAGAACTTTGAAACTGTTGGAAGATAACATAGGGGAAACACTTGAAATCATGGTCACAGGTGAAGAGTTATTGAATAGGACCCCAACAGCAGAGGAGATAACAGCAAGAGTCAACTACACCAAAGTAAAAGCTGCACAGCAAAGAATGATCAAAATAGCGAAGAGACATCCTGCAGAATGGGAGAAAATTTCTGCCAGCTATTCTCCTGACAGAGATCTAATATCTAGACCATATAAAGAAGTAAACACCACAACAACTGATCCAACAAAAAAACCAGGCAAATGAAGAGACTTTTCAAATAGACACTTTTCAAAAGAAGTATAAACAGTCAATAAGTATATGAAAAAATGTTCAACATGTTTATCCATTAGGGAAATACAAAACAAAACTACTTTGAGATGCTATCTCCACCCAGTCAGAATGGCTATCATCAAGAACACACAAAAAACTCCCCCAACGAATACTGGCAAGTTTATGGGGTTGAGAAGGGGAGGAACCCTTCTACACCGTGGTGGAAATGTCAACTTGTACAACCACTACGGAAATCAGTGTGGAGATGCCTCAAAGAACTAAAAATAGAAATACCATTTGACCCAGCCATACCACTCCTGGGTATATTCCTGAAAGAATTAAAAACATCATACTCCAGCGATACATATATGCTCATGTTATAACAGCCCAATGCAAAATAGCTAAACTGTGGAGACAGCCTGGATGCCCATGAATAGATGAATGGATAAAGAAAATCATAGACACACACAGAGGAATATTATTCAGCTGTAAAGAGGAATGAAATCATGTAATTGACAGGAAAATGGCTGGAACTCCAAACCATCAAGCTAAACGAGACAATTCAGACTCAGAAAGTTAAATATCATGTTTTCTCTTATATGAGAAACCTAAAATACAAGTAAATAATTGACTGAAATAAAGGAGAGATGATAGAAAATGGGAGGTAGACTTTTGGATTAGGGGAGGTGGAGGAAAAAGAGAGGGACAAAGAGATTGAAAATGATCAAGATATGTTATATGCAGTGCCAATTCCCCAAAATGAACATCACTATTCTGTTACAAACATTCATTAATTAAAGAAATACAGTGCCCAAGGTCACGCTCACCTGACCCCACCTTAACTTAGGCCCCACCTTCTAAGTTTCCATCACCTCTCAATAATGTCATTAAATTCTGGCCTCTTAAATGGATTAATCCATGGATGAAGTAGAAACCCTCATGACCCAGTCATCTTCTGAAGGCCCCTACCTTTGCACATGTAAGAATTCTGGGGGCATTTTAAACCAAACCATAAGAGGTGCCAACAACCAAGAGGAGAGATGACATGATAATGAGAAGTGAGGGCCTGCCTGGTTTACTATCCTTGAGCTATCGTTATTGCCCAGTGGCTTTATCTGGCTGGGCAAGTTACTGCCTACAGCACTCAGTTTCTTCCTCTATAAAACAGAGCACATAGGGCCAGGGATTTAGCTCAGTGGTGCCACTGCCTGCTGGAAAGCACAAGAACCCGAGCAAAACAAAACAAAAACAGCACCTGCTTCATAGGACTGTTGTGAGAACTGAGTGAGTTTAATAAAAATTGTTCAGAACAGCACATAGTAAGCACTCAATAAATGTTATCTATTTATAGTACCATTATGATTATCTATGAAATTAGTATGACATAAAGAATGGTATTTTGTTTTGTTTTGTTTTGTTTTTGATACCGGGGATTGAACTCGGGTCCTTGCGCTTGCAAGGCAGGCCACTGAACTGCTGAGCTAAATCCCTGGCCCCAAAGAATGGCATTTTGGAAAAGAATTTTGGGGAAAAGATGTGCTTACTGACAATAGGAATATGAATTGGTACCAGTTTTCACAGAGAACTCTGATAGGGATTCAAATGCTTTGTGTGTACGTATTCTTCAAACAAGCCATTTTCAGTCCCTAAGAATTTATCCTAAAGAAACAATCAGACATAAACAATTTATGCACGAACGGGCTTTCCAAGCACTTTCTTAAAATATAACACTCAAAATTAGAAATAAGTGAAACATCTAAGGAGAGGAGGGTGGTTAAAGGAATTATTGTGTGTCGGGTCATGGAGAAAACAGAACAGCCAGGTCTGGTCTGGTTCACCTCAAATACCTGTGACCCCATGGCTTCAGCCTGACACCCGGTTGCTCTGTGCCTGTGCCTGTGCCTGTGTGCACGGTGTCCCCTCTCCCGCTGCCCAAAGCTGAGCCTAGCACAGCAGGCAGCTCTTTCTTGGGTGCTCACACGGCCATAGGGAGGTGCCAGCCCACAAAGTCAACGCTCACAAGTCTGACCACTGTGGTGATGTTCCTCTCACCTGACAGCAGAGCCTGGGAACGGCTTCCCCGTGTTCTCGCCCCTTGGCAGAGCTCTCCTGTCTGCACTGTTGGAGCACAGAATCCTTGCAGCGCATATGGTTAAGTCCCTTTCCACTATGGGCACCCTGCCCTCTCTGCTTTAAATCGTTTTCTGGGTGGTGACCTCCTATATTGCCTAGTGACTCCTGTTGCCAATGGTTGACACCTGATCTGCAGTTCGTGTCAGCCACCTTTCTGTTATCCTAACAAATACTTGAGATGATCGATTTAAAAAGAGAAGTTTATTTTGGCTCCCAGTTTTGGAAATCCCAGAATATGCTAAGTAGACAAAGTACGGGAAAAGCAAAGCCATTCATCTCATGGCCAGGACACACAGATTGAAGAGGACAGCAGCCTGACCTCTTAGAGGTCCCAGCAGGCCTTTAACATGTGGGCATTTGGGGGATGCTCCAGATCCAAACTATTGCAGAGCCGGGGTGAGTATGTGCAAGATGGAGATATGCAGGTCGTCTGCACCCCACAGCATTCCCTCCCAGTTCCGTATACGCGCACATCACTTTCTGTGCAGTTTTCTGCACCCTTGGAGAGCTGGCACCCCAGAGCTCCAGGGAAAGAATAACTACCCTCACAGAGGGGTGAGCTGCTGTCATCCAACAATTCTAGCAGGGAAGAGCGTTCAGGGAGGAGCAGCTGGCTTTGCCCACTGCCATGGATTCTCCTTGGCAATCCCAGATGCCTGAGCAAGACCCCATGTCCCGAAAGATGACACGTACAGTGGCCTTCACTTGGCGGGTGCTGTTCCTGAGAGGGCTTCTTCCGACTCTACTATAGCCATGAGCCCGGGGACATTTCAGAGCCATACGCTCTGTCTGGTCTCCCACTCGCTTCTAAGTGGCAGCTTGAGAAACGGAAGCTTCATGTTGCTGCAGCTCTCCTGTGTCAAAGGACCTGCCCTCGGCAGTGAACATGCCTGGTGGCTGGCACCTTCTGTCACCTTCCTCCGAGGAAGGTGTGACACACACACAGGCATGGCTCAGTGCCTTGCCCCAGCAGTGCCCCCTTCAAAATACAGGGTGCTGTTATAGCCTCAGAGTCACAGCACCAGTGACTGATCACACGGTCCAACTCTGCTTTCTGCTGATGGGCAGGACAATGTGATTAAACAGAGCTGAGACCAAGAGCATCTATTCTCTGGAAGTCATACACTCCGTGTTCTGCATCGTTCCTAATCCTCCTAACCCTTGGGCATGCTCAGAACACTGGAGCATTTGTAAATGTCTCCCTGCTGAGGGCGGCTGGGTGCTCATGGGATGAATGGCACCTGGCTCAGCCGCCCCTGGAATAGGGGGAGGATTTGCACATGCTCACCTTCACCCTGTCCATGCAGGCTTCCATCTTCAGCTGCTCCACAGCCTTCCGGGCCTGGGAGATGCTGGTGGTACTGTTATTGGACATGTTTTCTTTCATTCTGCAGCCCCTGCAAGCAGCCACAGGCACAGGGTTGGAAGTGCAGCTCTCAAGAGCAAGGGTGAGACAGACGCATCCCGCCCTGCCTGTGTCCCATCACCTACGGCTTCTCTGTCCAAGCCAATCCGCTCTCCTAGAAGGGAAGGAAATTCTCCATGACCTCACACATACTGCTGCCATGTGACTAAGACAAGACATTGTAATGCTACCTGTCCCCCAAGAGAGCATAGGCCTTGGATCACGTTACCCCGTCCAGTGAGAAACTGCTCGGAGGAGGCCTGATGATCCAAGTGGGAGCGTTGAGGACGGGCACCGGAAAGGGCAACATGAGTGACAATGGCTCCCAAGCCACAGAGTGCAGCAGGAGCTGAGGCCAGGACCTTGGTGTGCAGGCCATCTCTTGGTAAAACTTTCCATGGGTGAGCCCACTCCTGGCCCAAACAAGGCACAATGGCACAATGGCAATTTCTTTTTTTTTTTTTCCTCTCTCGCATGGGTGATTTTAAAAAATAAGGCTTCTTATAAGACAGGTCAGAGCTGCCTAGGATGTGTTCATCTCATTGGGAACTTGGGCCCAGCACGGAGAAGTGGGAGTAGCTGGGGGCTCTGAAGTCTGGGAGCATCTGTAACCCAACCACACAGGCAGGAAGAGGGCTTCACCCATATGCTTGTTCCTTCTGTTCCCGAAACCAACTCAGCCCGGAGTGACCCTGAACCATGCCTGATCTGGGAGAGAGACGGGAGGGAGGCGTGGTCCCACTGGGCTGGGAAGTCACTCAGGGACAGCTGGCATGGGAAGAAAATGGCTTTGCCAACCAGAGCTACAGACAACCAAGCGTTCTGTTTGCTTTGTGTTGTACTGGGGATTGAACACTAAGCTACATCCTTAGCCCTTTTTAGTTTTTATGTGAGACAGAGTCTTGCTAAATTGCTAAGTTGTCCAGGCTGGGCTCTAACTTGCGATTCTCCTGCCTCAGCCTCCCAGACAGATCTTGTGAGCAGGCTTCAGAGCAATGCTTCCCCACTGTAGCTAGGGGCCTTGCAGGCTCCACTTGAACCACACCCCGGCCTCTGCTGCTACTCTGCCGGACTACATGACCTCACATATGCCTGTCCACACGCCTGTATGTGCTATAGGGAAACAGGCTGGGGCGAAGTGCAACTGCGACAAAGCTAAACACTCTTGCCACTTCCTGTGGACACTGACTCCATGCCTGGCCTTCGGGAGGATGAGGCAAAAGGAAAACAGCCAAAAGCCAGGGCCCTCCGCTGGTGCCGAGTGGTTAGGCATTTCCTCCTTCCGCGATGCACAGGAGACACTCACACGGACAGGTAACCAGGAGGGTGCACCAGTGGCTCTCAACTTAGCAAGTATGGAGTTGGGCTGGGGCCAGGGCAAGGCGGGTCTACCCTCAGTGCTGTGGTCTGGACCTGGCTTGGGACTTGGCATTTAGAACTCCTGAGAAGTGCGTGCCACTGTACCTATCATTACACTCAGGTGTCCTAACGGCCCCAAGTCAGCCATGGAAGTTGGTGAGGGACAGGGCATGACCACCCCTAGGGTGGGGTGCAGAGCTGGATCCTGATGAGCAAGTCTCACTCAGACCCCACATTCCTGCTCTCCAGAGAAACAGTTCCTGAAGAGCAAAGTCACCCCCTTACCTGCTGAGAGGTGCCACGGTGACAGGCCCAGATAAGGGACGCGGGCTGGTGGTGCAGCAGTGGTCGTCAGACGAGAGGACGATTCCGGGCTCACCTGGAAGCACAACCGGAGAGGGAGCTGTCCTCACCGTCCCGCCGCTCCCGCAGCGCCCCTCCCCTCTCAGCAGCAGCACCACGTGGGTTCCCAGGATGCGGGGAGGCGGCAAGCTAAAGGCATGGAGAGCACCTCTGAGGTGACACAGAGAAAGCTGGGGACACAGCCTCGAGGTCAAGGCCACTGTGGCCTCACCTGACAGGCCTCCCTGCTGACCCTCATGCCCGGGTTCTCAGTCCCTCAAGATCACAGTTGTAGCCCCCGCTAACGCCTGCCAAATGGGAAGAGTTTATCTGGTTTTTCTCTTTCTATAAAAATATATGTCCACCGAAGATAGAGAAAATCACAACAACAATGAACAATAAAGACAAACCACAGTGCCTTTTCCTAGAAAACCACGCTTAGCACATTGACGCACGTTATCCTATGTGCAGCAGGGATAACTGGATTTCAAGGAAAGTACACGTCTAGGTTGGGTGACTGCAGAGCTCACCCAGAGGGACAAAGCCTGCCCCACCCTGGGATAGACTCCTCCAACATGGCTGGCTCCAAGAGTTCTGAGTTCCCTCTTCAACCACACAGCCTACTGAATCTTCAGCAAAATCAAGCTCAGTATGAATGGGGTGCCAGTCCCGTTTGCTCTGCTGGGTAGAGTAGAATCCAAATTCATTTTAATGTGAACACAGAGGGACATGGTTTGGGATGGTGCTTAATGTGTTATTCTCAGTCTTGGCTACGATCTGAATGTTTGTGTTCCCACAACTATGACGAAATCCTCATGTCCAATGCGATGGTATTAGGAGGTGGGCCTTTGGGGGGGACGAGGTCACAAGTAAGGAACCTCAGGATGGAATTCGTGTGTCACAGAAGAGTCCCTTCCACCAGGTGAAGACTCAGCTTCCAGCTATGAACCAGAAAGTGGACCTTCCAGAGACACTAAACCCAGGTCTCGTCTTGGACTTTCTAGCCTCCAGAATGGAAAGAAGGAAATTTCTGTTGTGTATAAGGTCCCTGATCTACCGAATAGACTAAGGTAGCCCCTCCAATGTTTTCACAAACACCACATGCTACAAATGTGACCGCTCCTGTTACAGTAGTCTCCCTTTATCTATGGTTCCACATTCTGCAGTTTTGGTTGCCCAGGGTCAACAATGGTCTGAAAATACTGAGAAAATTCCAGACACATTTCATACTTCTTCGTTTTGAGATAGGGTCTCACTGTGTAGCCCACAGTTCTTTAGTATTTCTCAAACTCACAGCGATCCCCGTGCCTCCATCTCCCAAGTGCTGGGATTACAGGCGTGCGCCCTGACATCCAGCACAATTCATACATCTTAAGTTGTGCGCGGTTCTGAGATCATGATGAAATCTGTACCATCCCACTCCGCCCTGCCCAGGATATGAATCATCCCTTTGTCCTGAATATCCATGCTGTACACACTGCCCTCCATTAGTCACTTGGTAGCTGACTGGATTACAAAATCGACTACAGTGCTATTGTAGACTCACGTTCACGTAACCCTTATTTTATCTAAAAATGGACCCAAGGAGTGAAAGTAGTGATGCTGGCTGTTTTATTTTATTATTAGTCATTATCAGCCTCATACTGTGCCTAATTTGTAAATTAAACTTTACCATAAATAGGTACATACAGAAAAAAAAAAAAACTCTACCCAGGGTTCAGTGTTGTCCACAGTCTGTCACAGGGCATTTTGCCTAACTGCTCTGGCTGATGTTTCAAGTACTACATTGAAGAAAGTGTTGACAGTGGACATCCTTGTCCTGTTCCTGATATGTTCCATCATTTAATGTGATGTTGGCAGTAGGCTTGTTATAAATGGCTTTTATCAGATTGAGATTGAGATAAGGTCCTTCTATCCCCCCTTTCTCAAAAAAAATTTTTTTGGGGGTATTGGGGATCGAACTCAGGACCTTGCACTTACAAGGTAGGTAGCAGAACCACTGAGCTAAATTCCCAGCCCCTCAAAGTTTTTATTATGCTCAGATGTTGAATTTTGTCAAAGGCTTGAGTCTATTAAAATGATCACATGATTTTTGTCTTTCTTTCTCTTTATGTGATGTTTTACACTTATTGATTTGCATATGCTGAACCATCTTCCTGCAAAGGATTTTAGATGCCTTCCTCGTATCATTGTCATTTCTCAAAATAAGAGCAGTTGGTACTGATGGGATTCATGCCCTGACCAGCTCTCTTGATCTTGTTGCTGGAGAAAGCAGTTTTCAATGGTACAAAATTTTACCATGATGTTTTCAAAAGCGCTTTCTCTCAAGAGAAGAAAATATGGTCATCTCTAAATAAGATGATCATTTTGAGTTCAAAGAAGATCTGCTACCTGGCCACTAGCTGTCCGGGAGCCCTTTCAGGGTAGAGGCTGTTTTATTGGCTTCTGACAGTTCAGGTAGCCCAGTCTGGCCTTGAACTCATGGTGATTCTCATGCCCCAGCCTCCAGAGAGCTGCGGTTACAGGTATGTTCCACCCTGCCCAGCTAATTTTGCTGATTTCTGTTCTTTAGTATTTCTTCTTTGCTTTGGGTTTGATTTTCTCTCTCTCCCTGAATCTCATTCTTTTGGTTTATTAAGGTAGAAGCTGAAATCACTGATTTGAGAGCTTTCTTTTTAACATAAGTATTTACTGGTATAAGTTTCTCTGCAAGGACTACTTTAGCTGGATCACACGTTTTTATATCAATTTGAAATATTTTCTGTTTTCCTTTGTGATTTTCTGTATATGCATGGGATATTTAGAACTTTACTGTTTAAATAAAGTTAGGTTAGATCCTGACTCAGTTTTTTTGTTTGTTTGTTTGTTTTTTGGTACTGGGGATCGAACTCAGGACTTTGTTTGCGTGGTAGGCAGTGGAACCACTAAGCTAAATCCCCAGCCCCTCAGTTTGGTTTTTAAAGATTTTGCAATTCCATGCATATACTACTCAGGGATTTTTCTGAGCTTTGAGTGCCTGTATAAAATTTTCTTTCATTTTTTTTTTCTTTTTCTGGCCTGTTTTGGATCTGTCCTATGTATGTGCATCTCAGGAGTGTTGTTGGAAGATTTATAGGTTCATATGAAGACTTAGAGGATCTGGGCTGGGGATTTAGCTCAGTGGCTTGGCTGCCTGCCTCACAAGCGCAAGGTCCTGAATTTGACCCCTGGTGCCTGCCCACCCCCCACAAAAGAATTAGAGGGTCCACTTCTTCCATTGTCTCCTCTCCAGTATTTTCCATACATTCCAGTCCACAAGGGCTCCTTTTCCTGTTTCTGTGACCCAAAAGACAGGGTTCCTCCTGAAGATGTAGCTCATAGTGCTGCTGCCACTATAAGATTCTGTAGCTGGGGCCTGCTCTTAGAGAAAAGCAGTGAAAGGAAAAAGAAAAAGAGGAAAAAAAGACTACACAAAATTTCCCCCAGGTCCTTTGGAAGACATGTGGGGTTTCTACTAGAGCATTAGCTGTCTACACCAGTCATCTGCATATCTGCTGTCGGTCCTACCTGGGTGCAACACCACAGAGTAAGGAGAAAGCAAGTAGGAAGTGGATTGACCTTCATTTAGGTTGTTTCTCGAGTTTTCCTTCTCTTCCACAGTTCACAGACTCTGGTTTACTTTTTAGAGTTCCCAAGTACTTTTTTTTGGGGGGGGGGAACAGGCATCGAACTCAGGTACTTGTGCTTTCGAGGCAGGCTCTCCCAGGCACTTTTATGTTTATTATTATTTTTTCCCTCATTGAGTTTATTGGTACATTTTAGGTATACAGTAGTTACATTCATTATTGGGACCTTGTACCTTTACATGACAGGTCTTGGTTCTCATTTTTTCCCCTTGTCCCTGCCCTCCCTTCACCCCTCCTCTCCTCCCCATTTACAAACACTTTATTTCCATTTTTTCACTTTCTCATATTTTTTCTTTTCCCTTACTCCCTTTCTCCTACCCTTCCCACTTTCCCTACACCTTTAGCCCTTTTCTTCCTATTTCACATTGTCAATTATCTCATTAGGATCTTATGTACTATTATAGTTTTTCACACCAGAGAAACTATTTGGTATTTACATGTGTAACTTATTTATTTCACTTAGGAGTATATCCTCAATATGAATCCATTTTCCTATGAATGAATCTAATTTCTCATTCTTTATGGCTGAGTAATATTCCATTTTATAGAAAAACCACATCTTCTTTATCCAGTTTCCAACTGATGGCAAATGGGCTGTTTCCAAGTTTACTTTTATATTTCTTGAAGTATCAGCTGTGATCAGCAGGAGTGAAGGGCTGCTGTGGTCTCTCCATCCTGGATGTTGTGTGTGTGTGTGTGTGTGTGTGTGTGTGTGTGTGTGTGTGTCCCCTCTCCTGGATGTTGTGTGTGTGTGTGTGTGTGTGTGTGTGTGTGTGTGTGTGTGTGTGTCCCCTCTGCCAAGGACGCCCTTCTTTTATTGTTTGATGGGCACCTGTTCAGCTTTCTTTCCTTGGTTGGCTGTCCTGACCTCCAGAAGGTATTTCTTGGTGCCCCCACGCTCCAATAAGTCCAGGTTAGGAGGGTCCTTCCCACATGTGTTCCAGTATAACCTTCCCTCCTCCCTCCCTCCCTGCCACCACCAGCCAACAGCTTGGTGAGAAGACATCATTCTCCCTGCCTCTCAGTGTATCCCTGGCTAATAAAAAGGCCGATGGAGGAATGAACCTGCATTAATAGAATGAGCATGTGAAACTAGTGATGATCACAAGCCTGCAAGGGCTCCACAGTTTCTCAGTGCCAAAGAGGGGGCTGGAGGGTCCCTGAGCGTTTGTCTGGTCAGAGGGAGCTGGTTCAAGCTTGAAGGCCTTGGGCACAGCTGTCCCTTGAAAGACAGTCTGGTTCTTCAGCCTATCAAATTCTAGCTCACACGATGTTTTCTCCACAGAAAAGCTATTTTTACAAAGTGGGAAGTGGCTGTTACAGAAACAAGATAGTTTTGAGTTTCCCACGCGATTTTAATTGAAGAAAAGACAAGTGCTGTCATATTCCAGCTCCTAGATTTATTCAAGAATAAATTTTCTATAAACATTCTTAAGGCAAATCATTAGTT